TGGTACTAAGATGTCATCTTAGTTCAATGCCATGAACTACTGAAATGGCAAAGGCTCAGGAACGAGGGATGGAGGAGAGGGGATCAAGAGTCCAGGATGCCTTATTCTTTTTTCTTTTTTTTTGTATTGAGTTTAGCAAATTGATCTTGTTGGGGTTGAAGGCCCTTCTGACACACACTCAGGAGTGTCTTAAGTACAAACTATTAATATATGGCTGTTTGCTCTGACCCACCCATTCTGAACCAGATCATAAAGTTGATCTAATCCTTGCCTTCATGTGTGTGGTTCCCTTCTTTCCTCTCAGGGCCCACTTCCAGGTAGTGCTCCCTTGCTCCCTCTTTTCTCTCCATTTCTGCTGGCCCTCCGTCTCAGATTCCAGAGCCCTCATCCAGCCTCTTTACCACTGTCTCTTTTTCCTTCCTGTACCTTCTGGCTCTTGTCTATTCCCACTGCTTTATTCTCCTCCCCTCCACATCACAGCAAGGTTGGAAAAATTCTAAGCACTTCAATTGCCAAAAGGATATCTGCCAACCTCCTTCCAGCTCCTTATTAATAAGACAATTTCTAGGAAGATGTATCATCTTTGGCCACAGTTATAATTTGGCATTACACACAACTGACTTGACTCCATCCTCTGAGAATTAAGGTTTTCTTATATTCTTAATTGGAAATCAGCTAGGAGAGACAAGGAGTCCCCAAAGCGTTAACAGATTACAGTTCAAAAGTTCACAAATTAGTTAACTGGAATATATTTTCTACACAGAAATAAAACATAATAAAGGTTTCTAACATATACTGTCCATCAGTTCATATCACTCAAATATTTGCAACAAATTCCAGAACAAAGTAAGTAAAGCTCAGAGAGAAACCAGACAGTTTCCAATTCTCAATCCAAACTTTTCTTCTTTGCTGAATGCGGTGGCTAATGCCTATAATCCCAGCACTTTGGGAGGCTGAGGCGGGCAGACTGCTTTAGTCTAGGAGTTCAAGACCAGCCTGGGCAACATGGCAAAACCCCATCTCCACATAAAATACAAAAATTAGCCAGGCCTGGTGGTGCATGCCTGTAGTCTCAGCTACTTAGGAGGCGGAAGTGGGAGGACTGTTTGAGCCCAGAAGGTTGAGGTTGCAGTGAGCTATGATCATACCACTGCACTCCAGCCTGGGTGACAGAGTAAGACCCTGTCTCAAAAACAAACAAAAAAGCAAAAAATTATCTTCTTCCCCAGATGACTGACACAAGGACTGCCTAAAACTTCAGAGTCAAACCCATTACTCTCTCTACTAAAAGGAGTAAGGACTTACCCTGGGACCCTACCAGAAAAATCACAGAAGAACATAAGAATAGTATGGGGTTTGGGAGGGCTGCTTCTTTAGATCAGCTATTATTAGTTGCAATTTTAAAAACCTAGGTTTGGCCGGCTGTGGTGGGTCACACCTGTAATTCCAGCACTTTGGGAGGCCAAGGCAAGCAGATCACTTCAGGTCAGGGGGTTGAGACCAGGCTAGCTAACATGGTGAAACCCTGTCTCTACTAAAAATACAAAAATTAGGCGGGCATGGTGGTGGGCACCTATAATCCCACCTACGTGGGAGGCTGAGGCAGGAGAATCACTTGAACCTGGGAGGCAGAGGTTGCAGTGAGCTAAGTTCATGCCATTGCACTACAGCCTGGGCGACAGAGCAAGACTCCGTCTCAAAATATGAACACAAAAAAACAAATAAAAAAACCCCCTAGGCTTTAAAAGATCAAGTACTGCCCAGGGTTACTATGTAAGTAAGTATCAGTCAGCTTAGCTGAAAGACAGATTTTGCTAAACTCATACTTTGCACTGCATTATTCCATCATCTGGGCAGGATATCAGTGGTTCATGAAATTTCCAATGACTTTTCAAAGGTACTTCTTTTGGGAAAAAGAGAGTTTCAGACATTTTTTGATAGTAAAATATGCCATCACAAACTTATTTAGCAAAACGTAAGAAAAAAATTAAAGATTAATTGATTCAATCTAAGATTGCCAAATTACCATCTTTAATTAATAAAAATGGTCACTATAAAAACTTGACTTTGGGCCACTCAGGTAAAAATACTTCAGAAAGTTAAGACAACTGTTTCTATTTTTTAGAGACAAGGTCTTGCTCTGTCACCTAGGCTAGAAGGCACAATCATAGCTGACTGCAGCCTCGAACTCCAGGGCTCAAGCAATCCTCCCGCTTCAGCCTCCCTAGCAGCTAAGACTACAGGCATGCACGATGCCCAGCTAATTTAAAAAAAAAATTTTTTTTTGGCCGGGCACGGTGGCTGACGCCTGTAATTCCGGCACTTTGGGAGGTCGAGGCGGGCAGATCACAAGGTCAGGAGTTCAAGACCAGCATGACCAACATGGTGAAATCCCATCTCTACTAAAAATACCAAAATTAGCCACGCGTGGTGGTGCAGGCCTGTAATCCCAGCTACTCAGGAGGCTGAGGCAGGAGAATCGCTTGAAGCTGGGAGGCGGAGATTGCAGTGAGCCAAGATCGTGCCATTGCAATTTAGCCTAGACAACAAGAGCAAAACTCCGTCTCCAAAAAAAAAAAAAATTTTAATTTTTTTAATTTTTTTTTTTTTGAGACGGAGTCTGGCTCTGTCGCCCAGGCTGGAGTGCAGTGGCCGGATCTCAGCTCACTGCAAGCTCCGCCTCCCGGGTTTACGCCATTCTCCTGCCTCAGCCTCCCGAGTAGCTGGGACTACAGGCGCCCGCCACCTCGCCCGGCTAGTTTTTTGTATTTTTTAGTAGAGACGGGGTTTCACCGTGTTAGCCAGGATGGTCTCGATCTCCTGACCTCGTGACCCGCCCGTCTCGGCCTCCCTAATTTTTTTAAAGATAAGGGCTCGTTATGTTGCCCAGGTTGGTCTCAAACTCCTGGGCTCAAGCAATGCTCCCACCTTGGCCTCCCAAAGCACTGGGATTACAGAAGTGGGCCACCACACCCAGCCAAATGTCACTTTTTTCAATTAAGACAGTTGTCTCTGCCAGGCATGGTGGCCACACCTATAATCCCAGCACTTTGGGAGGCAAAGGCAGGAAGATGGCCTGAGTCCAGGAGTTCGAGACCAACATGGACAACATAGCAAGATCCCATCTCTACAAAAAACAGAAGAAAAAAAAATGAAATTCATTAGAGTGTATTTTGTTTTACTCCATCACACTTACCACGTGACAATTTTTGTGTTGTTATTGTCTTCCTCCACTAGACTGTAGTTTCAATAAAAGAATGGATTCTGTCTATTTTGTTCATTGCTATATTCCAAGCACCTATTAACAGTCCCTGGCCCATAGTAGATATCTGATGAATAATTTTTCAGTGTTGAAAGAATAAATCAACTTTCAAAAACTGGGAATAGAACATAAAAGCATAATCCAGTGGAGGAAGTTAAGTCTGGGGAAGAAGGTTCCAGTGAGAGGTCCTGATGGTGTGAGACATGATCATGTATGAGGTGCGAAGCAAAAGAAGCTTGTTACGTTCACACAGGTGCCACAGGTCTTGTGTTTAAACTGTCACATTTAACTGACAGAACAGCACTTCTGTGCTCACTTGCGCATGACTTCTTTCTTGCAGGCTGTTTCTTCATCTGAGCCTTTTACTTAAACTGTAATTCCAAAACTGCTTGGTTATCTGATTTTTCAGCTCTAATAGATCAGAAGTTAGAATCAGAATGGCTTCAGAGGAGCAAGCACACTAGTTTAGAGACAGTCTGGCGGCCAATATGCTGACAACCAGGAAAAAGAAAATAAAGCGGACACCTAAAAAAAGCACACGGATCTGGTATCATTTCGTCTCAATTCAAATATATCCAAATACACACACACACACACACACACACACACACACATATATATATATATATATACCGTGTAAGTTTTGCTATTTCAGGATGAGTAACTGATTTTCATAATGATGACATTTCACCAAGAAAAGCTTAGACTGTGTTCTGTAGACTGTGCTTAAAAGAAACACAAAGCTCTATCAACCTTTATTAATTTCTATAAGATTATAAATGTAAAAGTTTGGTCATTTAAGAGGACGAAGTAATCAGCTGGAAAATTTAGTTATGTAGAATACCCAGTCCCTGGAGATGATAGCTTTTTGGGTTTTATTTTGAGGGTCTATTCTGTGACAGGAGCCACAATAAGTCCTTGCTTTTTCTGGAATCTTCTCAACAACTTTCATAAACTATAAGCATTCCTATTTTCTAGATTAGAAAACTGAGGTAAAAGAGGGTAACTGTATCTCCAAATCAGACATACTGAACATGGTACATCTGGGATTCAAACTCAGGTGTAGACTACAAATCACATGCTCTTTCTTCACAGCGAGCTGCCTTCACATCACTAATTAACTCAGGGAAGTGAAGTATTCAGCACCCTTGGTGAAAAATTGAGACATCTTAGAGGACAACAGAATTCAGCATTGCTCTCCAAAGCCATGAGCCTAGAATCCAAACCTGTATTTGCCACCCTTTTTTTATTATACTCTCTGTATTTCCTGTGGCTTAAAAGATTGAATGCCTATTTGTGATAGTCGAAGAATTCAATATTATCTATTTATTATGGATTCACCATGCACTAACTCTAATATTTTCTTTACCCTTTATTCTTCAGTCAATGAAAGATAAAAAATCGTTCCATTATAAAGCAAGAAATGTGGGACATTCAAATAAATATGGGTGATATGGATGAAGCCAAAACTAACTGGTGAAGGAACACCAAAATTTAGATGTCTCCATGGAAATTCAACTTTTTGACAGTGTTGTCATTCAAATATCACCACTTTTTTTGTTTTGTTTTAGTTCCATATGAGAAAGACACTTTTCAGACATCATTCTCTGGTAAGAAGTAACAAGATATTTCAGGCTAGAAATACATGTTCTCCTTTTAAAACATAAGAAATCATATTAACATATAGAACTAAATGATATTTTATTTTGCCTTATGCTTATGTAAAATTCCAACTTACCATATCTGTGCTAAAACAGGTTGAGGTAACCCAGATTGAAAAAAAAAGTTTCTAGCTTGATCACCTGTAAATTAAATGGAAAAAGTTTCAGGAAAAAAAAAAAAAAAAATTCCAACAGCTAACAGAAATCCTCTAACAGCAAAATTACGAAATTTAAAAAGAGGCTGGTAATACTATAAATACTGAGTTGAGTGCATTATAAAAGTCCAAGGATAAGCCCAAAGGCAACAGTAAAACAATCCATCAGCACTGACTTTAGGATTAAAAAAAATCATCTCAATAAAGGCCTACCATTTCCCAGCATAGATTTTCCACTTTAATTAATCTGCTATTAACTAAGGATGAATAGCTACCCACTGTGCAAAAGCACATTTATAGGAATCCTTAGGAAACTGATGACCCATACTTTCACTTTATAAAAAAAGTTATTTGCCATTCCCAATACCTATACTCCAAATTCTGGGTACTTCTGATATATTTACGGAGAATAAATAACAATGATTAAGAACCACACCTGAGGTCAGGAGTTCAAGACCAGCTTGGCCAACATGGTGAAGCCCCATCTCTACCAAAAATACAAAAAATAAGCTAGGCGTGGTAGTGGGTGCCTGTAATCCCAACTACTTGGGAGGTTGAGGCAGGAGAACTGTTTGAAACTGGGAGGCAGAGGTTGCAGTGAGCCGAGATCACGCCATTGTACTCCAGCCTGGGCAACAAGAGCGAAACTCTGTCTCAAAAAAAAATAGCAGGGCGTGGTAGCAGAACAATTCCCCAGGAAATAAAGATTCCATTTTTTCTAAAGTGAATTCCTGAAAAATAATCAAACAGGAAAATTAGTTTGTTTATTTTTTCAGATGGAGTCTCACTCTGTCACCCAGGCTGGAGTGCAGTGGCGTGATCTCAGCTCACTGCAACCTCTGCCTCTTGGGTTCAAGCAATTCTCCTGCTTCAGCCTCCCAAGTGGCTGGGATTACAGGCGCTCACCACCACACCCAGCTGATTTTTTTATTTTTAGTAGAGATGGGGTTTCACTATGTTGACCAGGCTGGTTTGGAACTCCTGACCTCAAGAGATCTGCCCGCCTCAGCCTCCCAAAGTGCTGGGATTACAGGTGTGAACCACTGGTCCTTTGATCTTAACAAATTCCCATAAATTATATGAACAAACCAGTGGTTTGACATGCACTAAAAATTGCAAACAAGGTATGATTCCATTATGTGTAAAAAAATTATAAAAGGAGAGGCACAAGGTTAAGGCAAAATAGGTAAATGTCTCTCCTTGGTCATATTTGCCCATCTTGGCTTTGCATAATAGAGTTTCCACAGACATCTGCATTACTGATAAGTAAAAATGAAAAAATGCTGACTCTGATTACCAGTAATGAATCCAGATATTGGCTTTAAACTATGGAACTGCTGATCATGCTTCGCTCTTTCCTCTACAGTTATGGCCCAGATATCCAGGCTGCCTAAAATCCAAAGAAAAGACAAACAAATTATTCAGCGAGAAAAGGAAAACAAAATGCTCTCACATACTATTTCCACAGCACTTCAAGATTCTGTCTATGTATTATAAAGACTTGATAAAGTCACATCTGCTTGTCCTTGGAAGTTATGCATATAACGTTAGAAAATTAAGTGTAAAACAGGACACAAAAGGTAAGAAACAGAAAGAGAGAGAAAGGGAGGGAAAGGAAAGAAGAGGCACACATTCCTTTTTTAGCAACTTGTCTTATAAGTTAGCAAGATTATAATAAATTAATAATTTACTTACATAAACCCAAGCAACAGACTAAATTAACTTAAACCTAAATGTTTAAGCTACCCACTGTGCAAAATGTGCCTTAAATGCCACAGGCAAAAGTTATGAAAGAAGAAGTTGAGTGTGATAAATATCCATGAAAATCTTTTGGGGGGTGATTAAAATATTAATATATTAGATTGTGGTGATGGTTGCACAACTATAAATTTGCTAAAAATTATTATATAGCTAAAGCTAGTAAATTTTATGGAATATAAATTATATTTCACTAAAGCTGTTTTTAAAAATGGGTATCTCAGTATGCAGGAAGCACAGTTAAAAAAAAAACAAGAGGGGCAGGGATGTCCTGATATGAAATAATAGCCAAAGAGAATGAGTTTTAGGTTTTCCTTCAGTTTCAGCTCTTAGGCTGACTACATGTCCACTCACGACTGAGATCTTGCTGACTTTAGTCCTAGGTCTCCTCAAATTGACTAAAATAATTCTAGATTATATACATGGAAAGCTTTCAAAAGCTTGGACACCTTCCACAAAACTGGGAACACACAATACGTATGTTTCACACAAAATGTGAATGTGCCCAGCACATCAGCAAAAACATCTAAACATTGCATCTCTCCTCTCTACCGGGTCTGGTATAACACTGACCGATAAAGTAAAAATCCATTCAGTCACTGGAAAAACATTTACTGTGGGGATGAAGTGGTGTGCAAGACAGAGATGACCCCTTCCCTCACAGGCCTTACAGGTCTGAACTTCTAGAAGAAATTTTCACTGCCCTGTCAGAATTCATCCCTGTAACTATAAACAAAAACCAAAAATTGTACAGTAATTAAGGGGAACAAAAATAAAATAGAATAGTAATTCTGAAAAGTTTACAGATCTCTGCACCAGAATCCCACAAAGACTTTTACTCTCTTCATGATGAGATTAGACAGCTGCCAAGAGTATTCCGTTAATATAAATTTGTAATAAGTATTTTTTAATAAGTACTACTTTTTAATAAGTATTTTTGTTAAAAAGTAACTTGGGTGTAAGCAAGAACAATTAACAATTTCCTAATAACATTAGGAAAAATTACCCACAAAACACATTTTATGCAGACTGATACGTTTCAAACTTATGTTTAGTTTAATTAAAGTAAAACAAACAAAAATGTCATGCTTCAAATCCAGGCTTTGAAAAAGTGTAAACGACCCCATCACTTCAAAAAATAACTTGCTGATAAAAAAACAGAGGAGTGGGGTAAAATTCACTAAGAGACTTGGGAAAGACATGGCCTAATTGCAATGTTTGTATCTTATTTGGATCCCAATTTAAACAAACAAATCATAACAAGAAATGTCTAAAGACTATCAGGGAAATGTCCGAAGACTATAAGGTACAGACTAGATATAGCAAACATTTTATAGGTATGATAATATGGTATTGTACATTTATTTATTTATTTATTTTGAGATGGAGTCTTGCTCTGTCACCCAGGCTGGAGTGCAGTGGTATGACCTTGGCTCACTGCAACCTCCGCCTCCCAGGTTCATGTCATTCTCCTGCCTCAGCCTCCCGAGTAGCTGGGACTACAGGCGCCCCCCACCATGCCCGGCTAATTTTTGTATTTTTCGTAGAGACAGGGTTTCACTACGTTGGCCAGGCTGGTCTTGAACTCCGGACCTCAGGTGATCCACCGGCCTTGGCCTCCCAAAATGCTGGGATTACAAGCATGAGCCACCACGCCTGGCCCGGTATTGTAAATTTTTATAGGTGTGATAATGCCACTGAAGTTGTCTTTAAATGTTTTCTTATCTTTTAGGTACACATACTAAAATATTTATAGATGAAATGATATGATGCCTGGGAGTTGCTCCAAAAGAATCCAGATGAAACAATATTGGGCATGAGTTGATAATTAATGAAACTATATGATGGAATACATGAAGGTTGATTACATTATTTTCTCTACTTTTTAATTTTAAATTTGCCATAATATCAAGTTTTTAAAATCTGGTCCCAAAGTACATTAAAAAGAGAAATTTCTGAAAACTTACCACCAAAAGGTGTTGGAAACTGAGCCATGGTTCTGTTACTTTTACCTTGCTAATCGACGCCTGTAAGTGAAATGCAACATTTAAGTTTATGAAAACTTAATTCCTGTATAATCATAAACACACCAACATGCTGTCTTTAATGGTCAGAGGACTAACACTAGAGCCAGAGCATAGCTCTACAATTAAGGAATTCATTCATTCACGTGTTACTTTTTAAATACAGAGTTGTCCCTTATTATCCCAGGAAGATAGGTTCCAAGACCTCCCATGGATTAAAAAAAATCCGTGGATCCTCAAGTCCCTGATATAAAATGGCACAGTATTTGCATATAACCTAAGCAAGTCCTCTCGCATACTTTAATCTCTAGGTTACTTACAACACCTAATACAATGTAAATGCTATGTAAACAACTGTTATACTGTATGCTTAGAATTCCGTACATGTTTAGTACAGACGCAATTTTTTTCCCCCAATGTTTTCAATCTGTGGTAGGCTGAAGCTACAGACTTTGTAAACCGATGGATACGGAGGGCTGACTGTACCCTTTTCTTAACCATCTATAAATACCAGTCCATCTACTTGATGGTTATAATCAAAGCTTCTTTTCATTGAGCACTTAGAACATGCTACACATTATACTACGTAATTCACAGGTCTTATCTCTTCTACTCATCATCACAGCCCTGTGAGATAGGTTACCATTATTACCATCCCCATATTATGGATCAGGAAAATGAAAATCAGAGGCGGTACGTGATTAGCGCAATACCATTCGTTTGGTGACCAAAGGCTGTGGAGTTAGCAGCCTGCTCAACTCCACAGCCTTTCTCCCACGATAAACACAAAGAATTTGAGAAAGACTGTAAACAATGCATATTACACTAACATCTGTCCCAGAATACCAAACACAAATTTAATGGTCCAAAAATCTCCATCAGGCATTATTTACTCATGAACAGCCTATGTGAAAAAAAGTCAGTCCTCTTCTCTAACTAAAAACAGAAATCCAGATTTAGGGCCAGGTGCAGCGGCTCACACCTGTAATCCCAGCACTTTGGGAGGCCGAGGCGGGCAGATCACGAGGTCAGGATATCAAGACCATCCTAACACAGTAAAACCCGGTCTCTACTAAAAATTAAAAAAAATTGTTTTAAATTAGCCGCGCATGGTGGTGGGCACCTGTAGTCACAGCTACTCAGGAGGCTGAGGCAGGAGAATGGCGTGAATCCGGCAGGTGGAGCTTGTGGTGAGCTGAGATCGCACCACTGCACTCCAGCCTGGGCTACAATGCAAGACTCCGTCTCAAAAAAACCCAGATTTAGTGAATATTTTTCCTTATGTTTAACAGGGTAAATGCACAGTTAAAAATGAGTATTGGCTGGGCGCAGTGGCTCACACCTGTAATCCCAGCACTTTGAGAGGCTGAGTCAGGCAGATCACTTGAGTCCAGGAGTTCGAGATCAGCCTGGGCAACATGGCAAAACCCTGTTTCTAGTGAAAATACAAAAATTAGCCAGGCATGGTTGCATGAGCCTGTAGTCCCAGCTACTTCGGAGGCTGAGGCGGCAGAATAACCTGAGCTCGGGAGGTCAAGGCTACAGTGAGCTGAGATCACTGTACTCCAGCCTGAGCAACTGGAGTGAGACCCTGTCTCAAAAATAAAAATTAAAAAAATAAATAAATAAATGAGTACTACTCACAGATTTAAAATCTTAAATTTAGATTTAAAAAAATGACAGTCTCTTGCCCTAATACATCTCAATTTCATCTTCCAATTTGTCCACAGAAGTTTTTTCCAACTACCACATTTTTAAATTTCCAAAAGCACTTTCTCATTCTCTCTTCTTCTGTTTCTTGGATCACTGGATTCCTCTGGGTTCCTTTATTGTTCATTGGCTCGTTGACTGGGTCTCTTTCACTTTTTTTTTTTGAGACGGAGTCTTGCTTTGTTGCCCAGGCGATCTCAGCTCACTGCAACCTCTGCCTTCCAGGTTCAAGGAATTCTCTTGCCTCAGCCTCCTGAGTAGCTGGGATTACAGGCACGCCTCACCATACCTGACTATTTTTTGTATTTTTAGTAGAGATGGGGTTTCACCATGTTGGCCAGGCTGGTCTTGAACTCCTGACCTTGTGATCCGCCCGTCTTGGCCATCTCTTTCACTTTTAAGGTTTTCCTCATATATCTAGTGACCCCCAGATGTGCCTCCATATTTAAGAGTGAGGCACTAAAAAAATGCCCAAGCTCAGCGTGGGTGGCAGGTTTGTTGACTGATGGGCTTCTCTGTAAAACGATCAGGTATATTGAGTCCCCTTTTCATTGGGAGACCTCCAAATGTTCAGTATGTGGAGGTTTCTTCATCGAAGCTGTTAAGTTTTGCCAGACAGAACGAAGTGCTGGGTGGGGTGCGAAGGGATCAACTCATGTAAGTGCTGCCTTGAGGAGGAGTGAAGGAAGGAAGGAGCAGGTAGGGTCCTACACTTCAGTGTGCAGACTTGTACAGGCTCACTTGACTTTCAATCGTGTGCTTCACCTCTCTAGTCTGGAGCACTTCTGGTTCTAGTGCTCCTCCCATTTCCCCAGCACACAGGGGACTGAAGTAGTTACCCATATGCTGGGGTATACGAGAGAAAGGTCTAAAAGATCTGGATATGGATTTTTTTTAATTAATTTATTTATTTTTTATTATTATTATACTTTAAGTTCTAGGGTACATGTGCACTGTGAGCTGTAAAACTGACTTCAGCCTTTTTGAATATGTGGAGCCTCCAAGCACAAGGAACGCTCTGGAACGCTCTCAAGATATCCCTGGGGCATGCCGATTTGTATCTCCGTAACTGACCTCTGCACGTACTTAGGTGGTATCTTCCTCTGTGAACTCAGTTACTACTCCTCCATTCACTTTCTGTTTTGAAAAATTGTTAAAATCTTTGGTCATTGTCTCCTTTACTGTTATGTTTCTCCTTATGAATTAATATTTTATTTATTTAGGTGTTTTATTATTTTATTTATTTTTTGAGAGTCTTGCTCTTTCCCCAGGCTGGAGTGCAGTGGCGCAATCTTGGCTCACTGCAACCTCCACCTCCTGGGTTCAAGTAAGTCTCCTGCCTCTGCCTCCCAAGTAGTTAGGATTACAGGTGACACCACGCCATCCGCACGGCTATGAATTAACATTTTAAAGCTTCCTTTGAGATAATGCAGACTTTAGGACACCATATCTAACCAGGGGTCTGTAAATCCAGTTGTGAATCAGACTACTTCTCACTGTAGATTCCCTTTAGAAACTGCAGCTGCCCTTCTTTTCCTCCACAATTTCTCATTCAATATACTGTATGGCAACCTTGATAATTCTCTTAAAAATTTTAGTGTGTTTTATCTCACTTAGTCCTCATAAAATCCTTTTGGAATCAACATGTCATGTATCTTTTTGTAGAGCTTCCCAAAAATGCTAAGCTCTGATTTTAAATGCATAGTATAACAGATATTTAATATATATGAGAATACATTCTGCTCAGTTTTACTTCCGTTTTTTTACTTTGTTGCAAAATGAAGAGGTTATTGATTTCTCTTCTTTGTATCCAGCTACTTTACCACACTTTCTTATTAGTGCTAATAGTCTCACAAATGAAACTCTTAGATTTCCTAGATGTATATCTTCTGGAAATAAAGAATTTAGCCTTACATTACTAGCTCAAAGCAATAATACTAAGCTATACACAACAGTTGTGATAGCAATAATTTTTGTATTGCCTGTGATTTTCACAGTGATAGTTTTGGTATTTCATATTTTAATAGGTTGGTTTGTTGTTGTATTTTAGTAAAGATTATTTACCATGTTTATGTAGTTTCCTTCTATTCCTATTTTTTATAATTTTATTAAGAAATGGCTAAATTTTTTTTCAGAAGCTCTTTAAGCATCTAGTGAGGTAATGAATTTCTCCTTTACTTACATTCTGAATTATAGTGACATATTTGCGAATACTGAATTATCCTAGAATTTGTACAATAGAACAATTCATATATGCATGTTATTCTTTCACTACACAGCTAGGTTTGATTTGTTAATATTTTCTTTAAATTTTTTGTTTAAGAAAATATTATACATAATACTATGCAAGAAATGGCAAATCCAGAGGAAATGTATGCATTTCTATCTCCCTATAAATCTTGAAAATTATCTTAGGAAAAAATGATTTTATGAAGTTAGCATTAGCTTCATACTAAACTATGATACTGAAAGCATTAAAAAGAGACCATTTTTACTTATAGATACAATAATTTTACGCTTTACTTTAAATATTTCACAGCTACTGTGAGAGGATCACAGCAGCAAACGTAAGTATAACTCTTATGATTTAAAATATACTTTAGTCATTATCAGTTCCTGACAAAGCACCTAGGACTATTTGTTATTTATCATCCTACTCTAGAACTTAGGAAATAATTCTCACCCTAGGTGAATCTCTACCCCAAAAGCCTTCACCTCACTATGACCAATATTAGACTACATTTACCTTCTGGCCCTTCTGACCTCCAACTCTACTTCTCCTTCATCTCTATCTCTTAAGTGACAACCAAAGGGACTCTACGTTCTCTCTCTTTCCCTCCCTAATTAAAGCCCTATTTCTTTAGTGTCATGTTCTCAGCTGGATGTGAGCAAAGAATCCACCTAATAAAAACTAAATTATGTTTATGTATGAATGAAGATGTACCTTTCAGACTTATTCACTAACACAATAGCCAAATGATGGTTTAAAGATGAGGCTGGAATTTTCCCACATAATTTTCTTCTAACCACAGGTCTTTCCAATGCCAATCACAGCGAGGTTCTCCCTGGCTCCTAAGGAACCCCAGACGATAGTAGTAACATGTAGACGAAGCAACATCTTTCAATCACATCTCCTTTTCTGTTCTATGCTACCTGGACAGACCATGGAGATGACATCTTGGCTTAAGGTGTTTTGTCCTACTGTTACATACGCTTGCTGTATGAATTACTATAATCTGAAAAAAATATAGTAATTTGTAAAAGGCTACCATGTTGAGACTGGGAATGGTGGC